CACACAGACACACAGACAGACACACACGAGGTCGTTTGCATAAGCCCGCTGGATAGCTTTTTCAAAGCAGAAGGGCGGGCTAAAAAGACAGATCATGTTCGAAGGAGAGCATTCTAGCTCTAAAATCAAAAACCACAGGTCCCCAAAATGCCGTTTTTTTAAATAGTCTTTTTATTGTTCCCTAAGGGGTCACTCATCTCAGTAGAGTCCAGTGGGCGAAAAATTCGTCCATTTGACTCTATCTTTAATCGTTTACGCAACAGAGAGAGTTCTCTACACGAAAATGACCGCTAAACATTTTTATGTTTTTACTCAGATATTTAATGGTTTCCGGTGGGGTAACTCGTTAAAATAAACCCCGAGGAACAAAATTTGTGACTTTTTTGGTGCCAAATGCCTACTTATGACCTTCTGCCTTCTGCCCGACTCAGGTGTCAGCGCCGCAGGCCTAGGTACATGTATGCCAGGCGCGTCGCAGCGTAGCAGTGTTTCGTGAGATATCACGAAGCCTGTTACGCGAGACATGGTCTGGCGTATATCTACCTAGTTATACTATTGCGCCCATCCTCCCAAAAAGTATTCCCACAATCTCTTCATCAAGCTGAGCTTCATACAGAGCTTCTTCCAGAACTACGATAGCTGCTAGCAGCATTGCTCGCTCGTGCTCGTCTTTGGCTGTTTACAGATGCAACCAGAAAAAATAAACTCACGATCACGTCATAAGAACCAGCGAAACAAAAACAAACGCAAAGCACGAGTATGGAGCCGCAGTGGAACCCCAACGCCCTGTTCCGCTGTTCCAACATGTGTCAAATGTGTAAAATTTCATTTTTAATATTTGAATAGGGTGTTTCAATGGAGCGCTGCCCGGAACTAAGAAGAACAAAACCGGATTCAGAGAGCGGTGGTGGGGGCGGGCGCGCGGAGGAGCGGAGGGCAAGCGGGGAGGCTCGTCTCCACCCGCCGCCCCTCCGCGCGCCCGCCCCCACCACCGCTCTCTGTATCCCGTTTTGTTCTTCTTAGTTCCGGGCAGCGCTCCATTGAAATACCCTATTGTCAGAAAAACGCTTAAAACAGCATTAAACACGGTTGTACGGCGTACAGGCATTCATGCGCCCGATGTGCGGTTGTGCTGTTTTGCTGTCCCCTTTAAGTTGATAAGGCCTTTGTATAACCCGGCCGCCGCAGACCCATATTTGTGTAACCGTGCTGCTGCAGATCGAACTTTGTCGTTAGGACCCATCGTATTGGTTCTAGTGAGGAAATTGTTGAAGTCATTAGCAATGTATAGACCTTTTCGCTCACAACGTGGCAACGCCGCAAGTAGAATCTTATTCTTGAGGTAAACCGTATTTTGAGTGTTTGTCAAGCAAATTACTCATCACCACTGGATTCCTTGGAAAATTTACTAGAGACAAGTGTTTTTGCTTTTTGAAATTTGCCTAAATTAAAATTTCACTAGGGAGATTTGCGTTGTTGCCAGGTTGTGGGCGAAAAGGTCTATTCATCGAACGCTTCTAACTTTATCCAACGTTTATCACTTCTGCCAACCAACCAACCTCGTGGCACTAACTCGGCGACTACTGGGCACTCTCTGATAGGGATAAACTAGCACTGGGGGTGCCATATCATCGTCTGCCGAAAAGGAATACATAGTCGTGACAGAGGTCTTTGCATCTCCTACATCCACGTCGTAAACATCCTTTGAGCCCTTCAAAGCGATGACGAGATTCTTTTGAGCGCCAAGTTTGAACCCTACTTCGTCTCCATTGGAAACTGCTAGGAATCGACTCAACATCAAAAAATCCCCTGACTCTTAACAGAAGGGACTAGGGCTTACGGATAGGCAACGGTGAGCGCCCGACCCGCTGCCGCAGCAGATGTTCGTCGCTATATCTCAGCCATCACTGCGATTTTCAAAATTCATAAAAGGTGCCTTTAGTGATAGAATTTATGTTCAGCTGGATTCTTCTTGATAAGGATTTGAGCAGGAGAATTAGACACGTTCACTCTGTTTCACAGTTCCACGGAAGGTATTTTATTGCAAGAAACGGGAACTGTACACGCACAACATCAGAGAAGAAAAATGGGAACAAATGAATGTCTTACTCACTAAATGCACAATGGCGGGAGAATTCAAACTTAAAATTATGACATCCAACATTTAGCTCCCCTCAGCGAGAGCTGGAGCAGCGCAAAAGCTGCCGAGCGTCATTCTTCCTACGGGCCGCCCTCCGATCAGGCCCCGCCTAGAACCGTTCCTAAATGTTCTTTTCTGATTTCGCGTATTTCGCCAGTTCTTTCGTCGGGAAGGGCCAAAAATTATCTTAGAACGTAGGGCCCCGTGCGTTAACATTATGCACGGGGTAGCTGAGCGACTTGCATTAAAATTACAGAAGACCTAACAAAATATAGAACAAAACTATAATGAATGAAGGTCCGCCTCGCCTAGGAGGTAAGGCAACCGATTTTGCTCCTTGAACGTGAGAGATGGGGGGGGGGGGGGGGTCAATTAAGCCGTCTCCTTAGTGAGCCGTCTAAGGGATAAGGAATTTGTCTGAAGATCCCTGTCTGTGCATTTGGGCAACCTACCATGCCGCTGGCATAAATTTGTGAGTTCCTGAAGTTCACATTCAGAACATGTTTGCTACTGTCCCCTCCTATCTCCACTGCCCTCCCCTTACTTAATTTACCCTTTTCTGAAATACCATATGATGCATCTTGCTCCCATTTCATTCAATTCATTTAATTTGAGAAAGGTGAAGTTCTATTGGATTGCCTCTTGTTGAAGTCAAATTAAATACCCTAATATTTAATTTTATTTCAAAATACATATAAAGTTGTCTCCTACGACAAGTATAACTTGTCGCTCTTTTATTCATTTTTATCAGATCTCTCCGAGGCATTTGGAGGATCACGAATTGCTGAAGTATATTTAATTGAAACAGTTCTATAATGTATCGTATCATACAGTTTAATTTCAATGCTCCCACCATTTTATTGGACATCATTACACGTAATCTGACTCAAGACAAAGCTAGTCAATTTAAGAAAAAGGTATACCTTGTTCTGCTTTCGATGGGCCTATCCTACCTAAGTTTGCGATATTGGCTATAATATTGTTCGGTCCTTTGCAACTCCATGGCTATGGTAGAAGTAAGTTGTGTGTTTAATAATCGTTTTGGCATTTCCTATTGAGAGATTAGGTGACTCCCAATCATTCTACAAGTAAAGACCATGCCATTTTGTTAAAATAGAAAAATTGAAAATTAGGATTTTTTGGAAGTTTCAAAACTAAAAGTGTAATACAAGATTTAAATTCCTTTTCCAAAATCAAAAAGGAAATGTCTTATGCTTAAGGTCGATCAGAGTCGAAATGGCAAAGTTAGCCCTCAAAGGGGTAAATGTGTGCGAAAACGACCAAATTGTCAATTTCGGGGGCATTAACCCTTCCATTTCGATTCCGATCGTCTTGGAGCATAAGACATTTTTGTTTTCTTTTGTTAAGATGACCCCGAAACAATAGTTACCTTTGCACATTTCTCCCGAACCTCCAATCCCCTCCTCCCCTCCAACTTACGTAAGTAGATACGTAAACCATTCAAAACTTTCGTTCTTTTTCACCGGACACCGACGAAACTTGGTAAGTCGAGTTCCACAACTCTAAAAATAAAAATTTCACACTCGGTTTGACCATCTGACAAAATGATCAAGTGTGAGAGAATCAGAAAGTCTCGAAGTGGACGCTGGAGCCATTTGCGTGTTCGCGCTCTTTTTTCCACTCAGTGTAGCCACCACCGAAACAACAACATCTGAAGCTCTCTCTGAGAAAAAGAGGACCATATATTTCAAATTAGTCCGTTGAGAACGAAAAGGGGACACTGAGACTCCCTTAAATTATCGATGTTAAAGCAAACTTCTATTTTGTTATCAGTACAGCCGTTTTCTAGAAAAAGGGGAACGCAGACACTGACAGACAGACTCACGACGGAGACATCGCCTGACCCCTCAGCGACTTGGACTGAAGCTTCGCTCAGCGATAAGAGAAGATGAAGTTTCATGATGTTTAAATACCATATTCAGCCCAGATACACGATATTATTGAAGTCGGGTGCAGGGAGCAGTGTAGGTTATGGTACTCGTAGAGCCGAACAGCGACGGGCCCGGACGGGTCTCTTTTTATTCAACTAAGTGTTTTCGAGACATAGACATTAATCTTTAAAATGAAAGAAGAAGGAGAGCGAGGGCAGGTCATTGCTGCGTGACAGATTACGAAAACGGCGAGTTGTTTTTATTTCAGTTTATAAAATTTGCACAACATGTGTAACAGATAGAAAAAATGGTCAGCAAAACTGTCTTTGTAGTCAGAAGCTGATAAGACGAAGGGGACGATGTAGACCGTGGTACTTCTGCAAACGGAACGACGCGTTTCTCTGCTACCTGGAGCCAGAAGTCTGATGAGGACTTGAGACTGCGATTCAAGCTGCCAGTCTCATAATCTACGGCAGCTACACCAAATTTTAAGCTGGAAAAAGGCAACATATATCTTATTATCAACTGCTGGAGAAGTTTATCTTGGCGAGAACCGTGAGAGGGGTTAATTTGGACCACCAGGGAAAATGTGGACAACTTTCTTGTCGGTACTGGATGACTGCTGATGAGCATTGTTGGCGACAACGATAAACTGGACAGTTTTAGCAATAGGGTATTCCACTGTAAGCTGACCGGAACCCAAAGAAAAAAAACATGCCTGCTGGATCTGTTTCCTTTCTGCGCTCCCATTGGCTGACCGCTGCACCGACGTCATCGTAGACCAATCAGCGTTTAGGAGGAAACGGATGGTGCTTTTCTTCTCAAGGTCTCAAGGTCTCAAGGTCTCAACGTACAAGAACATACCCAGAGGCCAATTTCAAATTTACCTTCTACAAAGTAAATTAGCGTTGTGATATGCAAAGGTTTTGCAAGCTTCAAGCGCATCCCAAATAGGTGCAGTCTATATGGCTTCCATGACACTTCAAACTTTATGCTAATAACACGGTAAAAACAATGTCTCATTTTTTGATGGAATAGGGAAGACTTTAAGGTAAGGCTTGGGTGAAACTGGAAAAGTCACCTAAAAAGCAGAGTTTTTTTAGTTTTAAATCTACATGCTAGTGAAATCAAGAAAAAGATCTCTATATTATTCTAAGTTAGTTTGTCGCGGTTCTTTTAACATATAATAAGTCTATAGTTGGACATAACACTGTGCGCAAGAGCTATTTTGAAGTTATAAATTTTTTATGAAATTTCAATATAGCTCTTGCGCACAGTGTTATGTCCAACTATAGACTTATTATATGTTAAAAGAACCGCGACAAACTAACTTAGAATAATATAGAGAGCTTTTTCTTGATTTCACAAGCATGAAGATTTAAAACTAAAAAAACACTGTTTTTTGCCCGACTTTTCCAGTTTCACCCAAGCCTTACCTTAAGGAACTCTCCTGGTTTGACGAAAACTCCTAAGATTTCGAGGAAGTCTCCTCAAAAAATGTAGGATATATCCTATTTTTTTGAGAAGATTCCTCAAAATCTGATGCGAGATCAGAGGACTCTTCCTCAAACATAGGAGTTCCTCAAAGTTTTCCCATTTTCGTCACACTGTTCCTCACATGATCCTGAGACACTGTTTTTACCGTGAAATGGCTGGGATTGCAGGGAGGTGGGACGATCAACTTCAGATTGTTATCCGCAGCAAAACGCCGCTGCAAGCATGCTCGGACTTCCTGCAGGGTCTGACGCAAATTAGCACAACAACATTGTTTACATTTGTGTTTTTATCATTTTTTGCGGATACTTTCCTAGGCAGGACACGAACACGCTCTCGTTTAGGAACGGTATGGTGTGCGGTGGGGCCCAAATCATTCATTCGCTATTTAAGGAACGTAAACGTTAAGCCATTTTTACGACATTTTCGATACGCAAACGTTGTAAAAGTAGAATTGCAATAGTAAGCGTAAGTAAGTCATGGCTTACGCAAATTTTGAAGGAAGTTGCCAACAATGAATTTTACCCCACGCCATTTTGGTACAAACCAAACCCCAAGTCGGTTATGCGAAACGTGTTCTACCGTTCATCTACTTAGATTAAAGACGTCTTACTTACTCGAATCCGGCGCTCCATTCGACGGTGTCAATTAAGGCCCAGACGATGTATCCCATCACATTGACCTTAAACTCATTGACAGCTGAGACGAGAGCTCGTAGATACGCCTGTGGATAATTCACAAAGGTAAATGCCATGGTGAGGACTAAGAAGCTGGAGACAAACAAGCCAAACATAGACGTCCGATCGAAGCGGAGAGCGTTGCTAGAATATTTACATTAAAACCAAATTAATGACACTCGTCTACCACAAGAATGTGGCGCTGCGTCCCTGTTTCAGTGTTCGTAAAATACTGCCTCAAACCCCCCCGCTCTCATCTCTCTCCAATGGACTTTTTATTCCTTTTAACACGTTTCCTGCGGCATGATCACTCTCTCATTGGTTTCCGAATGGCCGCTATGCCTTGTGGCCGCATATTCTTTGAGTTATGGACAAGCGTTGTGGTTTAGATTTAGTACTTACACTGTAGTAAGCAAGTCTCAACTCTTCGTCCATACCCTTTTGGAGGGGAATTCCGTTTTCTGATACCATAATAGGTAAATTGTATTGCTGCCACGTCCATAAAAGTGCGCTGTGCATTGCATCTGGAGCAACCTAAAACCAAAGAGATAAGAATCATAACTTTCTTCCACGATGGGTTGAATGCCAAATTTGATTGTGGCTGAGAGAGTGTTGTGTAAGCAGTCTAATAATACTTACACTAAATAAAGGGTAATTTTCTGACCTCCTTCCTAGCTCGTCAGCAAATCGAAATGAAATAAAATCTACTCCATGAGTCATATTCTCGACGACTACTGCAGGGCCGCTAAAAGGGAGCGTCTCTGAACTCCTGTCCGAATCCTTGTACGCGACATTGCCTCCCGCGTATATGTTGAGACTAATGAAGTCAGTGGCTCCTGATAGTACAAACAGAAAACAATAATTATTTCTCTCTTACAAACTATTTCAGAGAACTAGTAAAGAAGAACAGCACGAATAACAAAGTGGCCCGTGATTCGTCGCCCGGTCACTCCCACTACCTGAGCGACGATTCATGGGCCTCCTTGTTATTCGTGCTGTTCCTTCCGTTCTCTGGAATAGCGTACTGGGCCGATAAGTAAATGATGAAACAAAGTGTTTTTCGTGTAAAAATTAGTTCCCTGGACCAACATTTTAGTTAACTTTACGATGATTAAGGATATGCACGTTGTGCTTTCGCATAATTTTCTAAACTTCACTTACCCTTTAGCATCTGTTTCTCTTCAGGTGTGAACTCTGGTCGTAAATGCCCTGTATATTTTTTCACCAGCTCTGGGTAGTCACCAAACACAATTGGGTGCAGCATGGAACCAGCCTGCAACTGGTTAAACACCTCTGCAGCAAAGGAGTCCTCAATCGACGTTGTGTTGGGTTTGGCTGTAACGATCCACGTGTTGACACCCACGCGTCCTAAAAAAAAAGTAGAATAGGTGTTGCAAATGTACATCTATTAATGTCCACTTGGAGGGCATCTAGGACTGATGTTCCCTTAAAGAAACCAAGAATTACTTACGTCTGCCGATTTTGGTGGTTGTTTAATGTTTAATATAGCTTGTCCTTTTTTAAAAGCCGCGAGTCAGTGCCCGTGCTCTTAAAAAACACATTGTCAAATTCTTATTTTAGCGAGTATAATTCTTTCGTACCATGCAAACAAGTTTTGCTCAAGGAATTGTAGCCAATCAGATTCCAAAAAAAATTACAAGCCCACGGAATCTCTACAACTGGCGTTTATAAATGAAGTTTGAGAAGTTACGAGGATTTATTATCCGTAATCTTGAAAATTCTACCCAGGGGACAGAAAATGTCCAAACTCATATCAATTCATTTTATTTGACGAATACTAGGACAAAATTAATCAATTTTGGTGGCTTTGTCAATTATTACTTTTTTTACTTCCAATTTAACCAATGTTTATTTTTACAGTCTTACCCCAGCTGTGTGACCACCACTCTTCTTTTTTAAAAATTTTCGTCACCATTATAGTCCACATTTAAATGCCCCCTTGACGCCCGCTTTTAACTTTAATTTTTCTAACCTGGTTCATTTTGAAATACAGTCCGACCCCGCCCCATTCATTATCGTCAACGGTATGACGAAAGTTCCAAACCTAGAAATCTTAACTGGATAACAGTATCTTTCATATAATACATTCAAGACCTGAAGTATCAGTTATAACCGCATCAAAAACTTATATCTTATCTAAATGCGGAATATTGGCAACACTCCAGCGAAATGAATGGTTTCCTATTTAGAAAATTTATTGCAATTCAGTATATTTTGTGGACGAAGCCAATGATGTCATCTTGACGTCATTTTAGGTCATTTTAAAATCAATCCAAGGTAATTTTGTCTTCATATTGACCTAAAATGGCGTCAAAGTGACATCATATTCGTCCTGACATGACTTGATATGAGTTTGACCATTTGCTGTCCCCTGGGTAGGCAAAATACTCGAGTATTTGTTTTTCTAAATATCCTATTGTTTCCGAGAGGGCAATCAGTTGCGTACTAAATCGTACACCCAGGCCTGTACTAAAGACGTACTTACTCGTACTAACAGCGTAATAACGCGTACTAATGGTAAAAATCAAGCGTAATAGTGTCGTAATGACATTATTTTGCAGAAATGATGAAAAACTACGCAAAAATTGGGTGTAGTAACGTGTACAAATGTACTTACTCGTACACTTTGTTCTGGAGTGATTTACCCCTCGATTGTTTCATGGCATTTTGCAATATTAACGTACCGGGAAGTTTGTTTTCTTTGAACGCTCGGTACGCCTCTGCATGCGCCAGTGTTATGTGGTGCATGCACTTGTAGGTGTTATAATCCTCAGCCTGCACGAGGCCTGCCGTGATGAGGAGGGTCCCGAAATAGGCACACATTACGTTGGGTTCGTTGATGGTCGCCCACAGCTGGACCTAGGACCAGGAAAAGTACATTGGTATGCTATTGATACTGTTGCGTGTAGGTAGCGGTAAAATTTTCTCTGTGAGAGGATTTTACACCCAGAGGAATGCGTTTTTGAAACAAATGCAAGAAATGTTCGTGAATTTTTCTCAAGAACAAATCTGACTTATTTTAAAAGCACAAAAATTCATGGGGGGGGGGGGGATTATTTGTGAACTCGCGAGGCCACCGCGGACCACTCCGCAAGGTTGCGAGGACACCGTTTATAGACTCACTACATCCTTCATTTAAAATACGAGGTTTTCATTTAACATAAACAGTAAAACTTCTCAGAAAACCTGTAATAAGACGAATATGCCTCTTTTGTTGCTCAAATAGTTAAAAAATTACTTGTTTTCCTCTCTCTCTGTTGTTTCATGACTTAGAAAACGAAAATAAAAGTACCTTACAATGTATACACAAACACAAACTATGGGACTTCTAAAATGCTGCTATGTGCCCAAATAATTACGGCGGATGGAACGATCTGTACCCAATACAGTAGCCAAAAACTGTTGTTGAACTTTACTTTAATTACAAATTTCTGTAGTGTAATTGCAAAACGGACGCAGGGCGAGAAAATTGGTGGGGCACAGGAGAGTACTAGCAATTAGAAAAGTGCTATAACGAATACGCATAGTTTTTCTGTTAATCTTGCAGAGCCTAATGACAAACAATACTGGCATTTCTACTGACCTTTGAGCTAAACTCGTTGAAAAGAAATCGAGCATAATCACGAAACTTTTGGATCATCTCTCGACTTTGCCAGCCCCTAAACTGGTCTTCCAAAACCTGGGGGTGATCGAAGTGATACACTGTGGCCTGTAAAAAAAAAGTGGTCGCCAATAAAGTAACATAAGAGTACCTGATAAAATTAGGCCTAAACGGCGATGCTGCTTCCCGCTCTAGCCGTGAGCCAGCAGCAGTACGTAATAAACCGTGATATTCGGAGAGACTAACGCTGGCCAAAATCGAGAAGTGGGTAAAAAAAAAAAAAAGCTTACGTGTTTTTCCTTTGTCTAAAAGACCACTCTTAACACCAGCTCAAAGCCCTTGCAGTTAGACGTGGTCCTAAGTGCAATGCGCAAGGTATATCAACACCAAGTTTGCAGGCCAATTTCAACGAGAGAGGTATCACTTTTTTCGTCTTTTTGTGGTGAGATAGAATATGTGTCTAGGCGGGCATAGGTGCTACGGTTCAGATTTTACTGCGGATTGACTTCAAATGACGCTTAACTGTCGGACACAGGGGGTCCTAAAGAACTGCAGCACTCGTTGTATCCAACACTTATAATTGTATACAGAAATGTGTACTATTGGTACCGCAGTTTAAACTGTGATACTGTACGACACTTGAGTTTCCAGAGCAGCAGACGCTCAGCTCACTATTACAAATAAACTGTTTCAGACCATTTCATGGTTTACACTCTTTCGCTTCCTCATCTGCACTCACGGCTTGTACGACCAGATGTAATGACCGATACGTAATGAGAACCATTTTGTGCGCGCACGATTTCTCATGGCTGATTAGGAGCGTTCTCTCTATTTGCGCCAAAGTGGTAACTGCCCCCTCCCCCCCTCATTTTTTCTGCGCATTTCATTTTAAAAAGTATGATTTTTAAAATATTTTCTAAAAGGAGGGAACAGAGTAAGTCTTATAGAATGCGCAAAGTATGTACTTACAAATGGAATAAGACCTTGCTTGAGAATTTCATCAATGAGGTCGTGGTAATATTGAACTCCTTCCATATTTGGTCTAGATATATCCCCTTCCGGCAGCACTCGTGACCAGGAAATGGAAAATCGATATACCTGGAACTGAAAAGTGGCATGCGATATACCCTTGTAAGATACAACTAATAAGCAAAAAAGGAATGTGGAGAGACATTATCCATCTGGCTTGAAAGACTGTGACGTTCCCATTGATCTACCGTTGTTTTCTAGTAGTGCCAAGACATAAGTGCAATTTCTCTAAATTGTACTCTATTATAGTTTAAACAACCCCAAAAGTCTTTTGCCGTTTGAGATATGGCAAATTTTGACGATGACGACGAAAATTTCATTGTGTTTTTAAAATGTTAAATAATTGTATTCGTACCTTTAGTTGTTTGGCAATTGCAATATCCTCTTTATATCGGTGGTAGGAGTCTGCCGCAGTGTCAGAATCGTTCGTGTTTTTGAAACCTAGCTTTCCTAGGCGTCCCGTGTGGAGGACATGGTCAACCATACTCTCAGATTTTCCTGCAAACAATACAAATAACCGTTTCCTCTTGCAAAAACACAGTTTAGGGCCCTTTCATTTATTAATTTACTGGCGTTATTCTAGGCGTTTCAGTAGAAACTTGTCACTTTGAGACCCTCTTGAAGTAGGATATGACTTATTGACTTCTTCCAAACTGCTTGTTTGGTAGCCTATCTTCATATGGTGTGGAGCAGTTTGGAGAAATACTAGCTTAGCCCGTTTTTAACAAGTTGTTTGTTACGTTAAGTAACTAAGTTTCGTTGGCGTTTTAATAAGTTGCAAAATCATGACGCATAAAAGAAGTTGGTAACCCTAACAGCTTCAATTATTTGGTAAACCCGGGTAAACCCAAAAGAAACTCGCAGGATAACCCGTTTGCCCAGGGAAAGTCCCAATTCTGCTGCACTGTGCTTTGTGCCAGTGACTGCGGCAGGTGGCGGGCCCATTTTGTCGACAGGATTTGGTCTAAAGAAAGAATTAGCTGTCGAAACCAACCATAAGCCGTCACAGCCAATATTTTCGCTAGTATGCTCACAGCGAACACTCTTCGCTTACTCGGGGGAAAGATGAGTATACGCTAAAGCTTGTTTTTTCCTCCGACGTTCTTGTGCACTGTGCGAAAATAATGCCCTCATCACGAGGGCATACAGGAGCTTTATTTTTAGAAATTTCAGACAGTGTTGCCCATTGGGTGCAAAATGTGAAGAGCAAAATAAATAGCGCACAGGGGCTCAATGATTTGCACCGAATGAAATTTGCACAGCAATGTCCAATTATCATTGGCTGAGCGATTAGCGAAGCCCATTACTCGACTGACCGGAAAAGTTTCATTCTGTTTGTCTGTCTGTTTGTTTGTCTGTCTGTTTGTTTGTCTGTCCGCACGATAACTCGAGAAAGAATTGAGAGAGCGATCGGGGAATTTCAGGGTCATTTAGTTTCATAAAAAGACAGAGCGAGTTCGAAGATGAGCATTTTAGCTCAAAAATTTACTTTAAAAAAAAATCAAAAACCACAGGTTGTAAAATATTTTCTTTTTTAATTTTTTTTTGTATGAGCTCTCAAAAGGTAACTCGTCGGAGTAGACCCCTACGACCGGAAATTTCGTCCGTTTTGCTCTGTCTTGTACCGTTTTGGCGCTATGGGGCATTTCTTAGCGAAAACAACGAGAAAAAGACAAAATGGTCTATTAAATCGTAAAAAAGGCTTCATGTCACAGAATTGTAAAGGGAGTAATACTTAAACCACACATAACGGGTTGAACCACACCCTCTTTAGGGCTTAAGGGTCCCTAGACTATCTAGTATCTCTAAAACGTTGATTTTTACATAACAATCAGTCAAAATTCGAACTTTTAATGAAAACCGTTACCGAACAGCAGAAGTTTCATGTCCCTAATTTTGGAGTACTAAGACCCCGACAAATGGTTCGAGTATGTCAAATTTTTGGCCCGGAAGGCCCTGTTCCCCTATACCCTCTCCTTAACTCGTCTCGGGTGTCAGCGCCGCAGGCCAAGCTGCACTATTAAAAAATGTACTTGCGATTTTACCTATGTAAGTATCCTATAAGTTATATACCGATATAGACATGGTGACAGTGAGTGCCCCAACCCCAGGGCACATACTGTCAATTACCGCGGTCTCCTCTCGCGATGATTTGGGAAAAGACGCGAATGTTTCTGCGGAGGGCACAGTGGTTTCTTGTGACTAAAGGTCGGATAAAGGCACACCAACCCAGAAATCTGAAATCCTGCCTGAATAACGACTGCTAGAAAAGATTTTCCAAAAAGTGACACTATGTGCCTCACCTACCCTAACATATCCTACACAGGTGTATGGGAAAATTCCTATACTTGCATGATTAGAATACTATCGCGTATGGTAGAATTACCCGGAATTACCACACACCTGTATGGGAAAATTCCTATACATGTATATGTGAAAAGCTGCGGATACATTTATAGGAAATCTACCATAGATTTTTTTTAGTGTCTGCACCAATTTCCTTTTGTGAAGCGGAACAATAAGCTTCCTATATTTAGAAATAATACTCCAATGACATAGGTAGTCTTTATAAACATGCAGCTTCCCCTAGCTAACAAAAGTACGAACCTGTGAGGCAATGCATTGGCTCTAAAGTAACTAATTTCGGAGTAATCTGAGCAAATTTTTCTTCCATAAGACTTCTAGATTTAAGGTTTTACTCATTATCGCTGCTTAGTTCTGAACAAACCGTAGTGTCTTCCTTCCCCACGTCGAATGCTTTCGCACTTACCTCCTTTGTTCCACCACCCTTCCGTTTGGAATGCCGATACAGCAGCTCCAATCAAAAGATCTCCTGGTAACGGCACGTCTTGACTCTGGCCTGTGCCCGTTCTTATAATGTTTGCCTGGCTCCAGGCCGATAATAGGCCGAAAATAGTTAGATACGCATACATAGTGTGAGACCTAAAAAGAAAAGGCATGTTATTATTAGGTTCTGTCGTAATCTCTGGAACGGTGCTTACTCGCGAACCCAATTACTTCCCTGACTACAAAAGTTGCATTCCATGTCTCTGATTATATGACTTTAAGCACAATGATTGAGGACAAATTGACAGGGTCGTCGTTAAACATCACAAGGGCAGACCGAGTTTTAAAACAAGAGTCTAGCCTAGATTCTGGGTAAGATTTCAACCACCATGTTGTAGACACTGATAGATAAGTTCAGTACCATTTAAACTAACATAACCACACTGTACTTTTAGGTTGAACCCAACATATTATGAACAGTTGGCAAAGTTTCAACCATAAGTACTAACTCTGTCAATATCCATCTCAATGTCACAATTCTAGTACAGGACAAAGCTGGTGACTTGCACTGCAAATGGTTCTATTTTTAGCCCGACCAGATAAAAATTGAGAGACAAACTGTGGCCCATCTGCGTAACAACTGTGTTATGGGATGCATACTGAAAGGCGCCTCTCAAAGGTTAGTGCGGCGAGGTACATTACAGGCACAGTTGTACCGTCGAAACTATTGGTGAGATTGAAACCCTGCGAACCATGCTCATAACGTTGACTCTAGGGGAAACTCAAGTTGCACCTCTTTAAAGGAGCGGAAGGATGTTGCGTGTACTTACTGCAAAAAGTATTGTTGAGGAGTAGAATCTTCCAGCGGTATTTACTTGAAACGAGAATATGTGACCAGTTCACACAAGGAGTGCTCCTTATATATACGCAAGCGGTGGCTTTATCAGCTGCTGGTGGCTGTACTTATCAGGTGGCTGTGAAGTATTTTTGGGGAGTAAAATCTTCCGGGCGTCTTTACTTGAAACGAGAATAAGTGACCAGTTTACACGAAGAGCGCTCCTTATATATGAGCACGCGGTGGCTTTATCAGCCGCTTTGAAGTGTGTTCCGCACTCACGACAGTCCCCGCAATCTTGACTTTTTCTTCGTAATACTTAATGTGGTCTCAAGTATCTGAAACACAAACGCACATAAGGGGGATTCTCAGCGAATGGGCCATTTGCGTTCCGCGGCCTCTCAAAAATATCTATTGTAGTCACGAGAAGCTATTAATTTAGCTACATACTGAGAAGCACGAAGACTCTTTGGTGAAAGCTGATAACCTCTGAATATTTCAACAGTGGGTGACTAATAGAACTTCAAGGGTCAAGATAATGTAAACTTTGTTACGTTCCTAATACCTAACCCTCTCACTCTAGAAACACTAAACTGTTGCACATGGTGTAATTTTTTTCAACCGGCCAATTATTGTGACGATAACGAAAACCCAATAATAATGATTTCTCCACAGTCAGCACTGTAAAAACCTTACGAACTAAATAATTTGCAACGTTACAAACAACTTTCGTTCTTTGTCTTGTAAAGAAATTGTTCGTATTGCAAAGTTTTGTTTTGTTGTGCAAAGCATTGTTTGTAAGGCTAGTCAGGGTCTTACGAACAATCGGTTTTCATTACAAACTATTTGTACAATAAATTCGTAAAACAACGCTTCAAAATCCTTCGTAAGCTACGGGCGTTTTGGTTTGCTTTACGAACAGATTGTTCGTATGCAATTTACAGTGAGACGATTATAGCTTGTCTATCAAATTTAAACTATCTATTGTCTTGTACTTTTATCGATTCCTGTTCGAATCCACAACAGTGGTTTTTCGCTTTTATTACGATTGCTGGACGATGAAGATTTTCGTACCGAGGAAAAAAGGTAGTATAGCGATAGAATAGTTTTGCTCATTTCGTATACCGCACCAATAGTACGTATCTTTATTTTCACTGTTGTCCGACAGTCGCACGACAGTTCTGTGCTTCAAGGGCAGTTCAATTAGACCTCGCTAATTTCCGTGCTGTTTCAAGGGAACAATCATTCCAGATCGTTTTATTTCCAGAGTGACATGTCCAGGGAAGTATAGCAATTCATTTGGATTTTTTTTGACCCGGTTCTGGTCATATTTTTGCAGTATCGGCCAGTTCGAAGAGCACAGGTTCTCCTAAAATCCTAAAATTACACCGAACAACCCTCGGAATACCTGGATGGATTTATGTCGAAAAGAGTTGCCTACATTTCGATACCTTAGACTGAAAGGCACGCAGTTCATTTTTTTCACCAGTTCTCGGTGAGGAAATTTACTGACTGTTATATCGGTTTACGGTGTTGAAACGCTACAATACAATTAACCGGTATGGTGAAGTTAACCGATATTGAAAAACAAAGCGGTTTCCCCAAAATACCGATTTCCACATTAAAAAGAACATGTTAAAAGAACATCGAAAAGTAAAATAGTTTTCATATTGAAGGCACAAGAAAAGCGACCAAAGGCAGAGCGATGCTTAGTGAAACCAGGCGGGGATCCCGGGAGGGTGCGGGG